AAACCGGCCCAAATTCTACCAAAACACACGGCAGTCGGCGCTAAAATTGGGTCATCACCTCTAAAAAGGAAAAATAGGAGAAAGACGGAAAAAAAATTCCAAATTTAATTTCATTTTTCCACCAAAACGCACGGCGGTCGGTGCTAAAATCGGGTCATCACCTCTAAAAAGGAAAAATAGGACAAAGACGGAAAAAAAAATTCCAAATTTAATTTCATTTAACACCAACTCGGCTTTATTTTCTATTTTTATCCCGTAGCCAAATTCACCACTTTTCTCCCTATTTATTCGCACGCTTGGAAGTCTCCTCCGTCGCTTTGAGAAACCCAACAGGCTTTTTTCCGACGTTTTTCCAGTTGTCCCGGAAAGGCAAAACCTGAAATTTCCAGGTTTAGCTCCGGATCTTTCTGAAAAACTTCCCTCTTGATGTCACTCACGCCCCTTCGTTAAGCGAGTGCGATAATTAACCGAGGAAGAATCCAAGTCAAGTCGTTTCCGGCTTTTTCTCCGCAGGAAATGCAGAAGGAAAAGTGGTTTTAGAGGGAAAAAAACATCACCAAGACCTGCGGGAAGAGTGAGGGATGGTTTTTCTCTCCTCCACGGAGAAGGAAGAACATCCAGAGTTTGTTTTCTGCTGATGGTGGCCATCTTGGTGCCTGTCCTTCCCTTCGTACCTCCAGATCCACGGATCTTTCTTCCCTCTCCCACACGTGCCAAGATAACCGGAGTCCTGGTTGACTTCCAGGCTCTGGAGAAGACCTCTTGGCATCACTGGGCTTCACTGGGATCTTGAGTCACTCAAGGACAGAGCTGGTGGACCCCATGGCCGTGGTGGAGATGCCGGTCCATGATGATGTTGGAGCTCGGGGCAGCAGTAGGGCTTCTCCCGGTGTGCGCGTGCCGACGCCGTGCCGGGTTGGAGACCAGGATGACCTTGGATGTCCTCCTGATCTTTCCTTCGGGAGCTTTGATGGATGTTGGTTGGGTCGTGGTGCTGGGAGATGTCCTCCAGGCACGTCCCGATTCCTGGGTCTGCGTGTGTCCCTCATCCCACTCTCCTGCCTCCTGCAGAGGAAAAAGAAGGAGATCACGAAGAGTCCTGAGGAGTTGGGATCTAGGTCTTCTCCTCCAATTCCAGCCCGGAGGAGATCCTGTCAAACTGAGGGTGGGCAGGGAAGGGCTGAATCCCGGGAGAAGCTCTGGTCTCCCCATGCCCTCCTGTGGCATGACCCCACGGATGGGGATGGAGCAAGGGCATGGACTGGCACCGGTCCCAGTCCAGGGAAACTGGTGTGGATCTTTCCCTCCTGCCCTGAGCCCATCACCTGGAGTCTCCGGCTCAGGATTTGGTAGGAACGGAGGAGCCCCGGGGCAGAGGGCTGTTGCGTGCCTCGATGGACCTGGCACCCGCCGCCGCCGGCTCCGACCCCATCCAGGGGCTCCAACCCCCTTATCCCCTCCGCCGTCAGCATCCAGCTGATCCAGCCCCTTCCCGTGTCCTCCCGTTCCCAGTGGAGCTGCAACATTCCCAGAGCCACCAGAACCAGGGCTTGGAGGGATGGATGGAGCAGGGAGGCTGCAGGAACTCGCTCCGCTCCCTCCTTCGGCGGGCAGGCAGGGGTTAAACGCCTAAAGGGAGGGCAGGATTCAGGGATAATTCCCCATCCTCAGGCTCTTTCCAAAGAAAATGAAAAGAAAACCACCCGCTCCCGGCTTTTCCCGGGATTAAACCACCGCCAAAGCCCCTGCACCCACCGGGGAGAAAAGCATCGGCGCGGTTTCAGATCTCCTGGGATTTCTCAGAAGCAGGAATCCCGGGAAGCAGAAATCCCGGCTTCCGGCATCTCCTTTTCCAGCAACAAGGGATAACTGGGTAAGTGGAAACCCCCCCTGCTTCCCACCCGCAAGCGCACGACTCCGGAGCCCGGAGGTTTTTTGGGAAAACAACCAGTTTTACACCAGCCACGTGATGAAAACACGGTTTGGGCCACTTTTCCGGGTGGAAAACCTGATTTCTTGGTTGTATTCCTGATACGGATCGTGCAACTGGCCCGGTGTCCCCCAGTCGGGGACTGGGATGGGGCTGGGATGGGGCACTGGGATTAGGACTGGGATGGGGAACGGGGAGCAGGATCGGGGACTGGGACCAGGATCGGGGACAGGGACAGGGAGTGGGATTCAGGACAGGGATCAGGATCAGGGACCGGGATCGGGGACTGGGATCAGGACCGGGACCAGGATTAGGGACAGGGAGCGGGATCGAGGACAGGGAGTGGGACTGGGGACAGGGGCTGGGACTGGGATCGGGGACAGGGAGCAGGATAGAGAACAGGGACTGGAATCAGGGACTGGGCCTGGGATCAGGGACAGGGACCGGGATTGAGGACAGGGATCGGGATTGGGGACAGGGACTGGGATCAGGGACAAGGATTGGGATCAGCGACAGGGACACGGACCGGGATCGGGGACAGGGATAGGGATAGGGGCAGGGATAGGGATAGAGATAGGGACAGGAACAGGGAGTGGGATTGAGGACAGGGAGCGGGACTGGGGACAGGGATCAGGATCGGGGACAGGGATCGGGATCAGGGACAGGGACCAGGACTGGGATCAGGGACAGGGAGCATGATCGAGGACAGGGATCAGGATCCCTGCTGTCACGATCCCTCTCCCGACATGGGGTTTTCCCAAAACCGCTGGGTAAATGGAAGAG